AAAAAATTAGACTTAGAAATGAGCAGATGGAATGAAGACATTTAACTGCTTATAATGAGAACAAAATAATAGTAATATGATTTCCAAGCTCTGTCAATTAAATAAATGTAACAAAATATGTGACAAATGCAATGTTTTACCACCTTGATGCACATCATTTTATTTTTCAGATCCTATTTAAAATGGCCGTCTAGCAGCTATTTTGTTTTAATGATCGCAGTTCTAGTGCCATACATGTATCTCTGCCATGCTTTGACTGACTTATGATCAAATTTTATATATTCATTTTTGTGATAAAAAAAACATCAAAAATCAATAATTTCTGGCATTCCAGAACTGAATCTTGGTGTTTATGGATGGATTTTGTTCAAACTTGGTACATACATTAGAGATTTTGGGTTCCTGGTGCACGTCATTTTATGTTTCAGATCGAATTTGAAATGGCTGACTGACGGCCATTTTGTTTAAATGAATGCGCTTCTAGAGTCGTATCTCTGGCATGCTTTCACGGATTGTTCAAATTTTATATATTCATTATACATTATGTTATACATGTAGATGTATAGATGTATTCAAAATGGCCAACTGGTGGCCATTTTGTTCTAATTAATGCTGATCCAGGGCAATATTTCTCAATATGGACAAGTACTCGTTTGATAATCAGATACAAGATGTCAATCATTTCAATGTTAAAAAATCATCAAAATCAAGCATCATCTTCTGGATGCATACTTCTGACATGTTTATGTTCCAACTATATTACTATATACAAAACTATATATCTTAAATTTGATAACTAATGGAAACTGTGCCATGCATGGCTCGTATTTTGTAAGGGTGATTTAGATTATTAATTAATACTGTACATATACATGCACTATTATTTGATAAATATGTTTACTTGTCAAAGTTTGATTAGATATGTTGCTGTACTATTATTTTGTTAGGAACATTTTTACAATTCATGTTATATAAGAAGACATTGAGATTATTATGGTACATGTAGTAATATTTGAGGAACATTAATAATTTTTTATGTAATTATTATGACTTTGTTATTTATTATTGTCGATTTTTGGTCAGAATTGTCCACACCTAAATTTTAGCTAGTATTTTTCGTGCAAAACATTTCAATATACCATTGCATTGTCTAAGGACTTTCATACCTATCTTTTGCCCTACAAAGAAAAGATATTGCATTGTTAGTTTGTATCCATCCATTTGTTATTTAATTAAGACTCTCAATGAACAAGGTGGTAATAGTTGTGCTATATTTGAATCTATTTGTTTCATCGTAATTCCTGGATATTACTGCAGTGTATTCTAATTAATCCTTGAATCAATTTAGCATTTCCTGTTTAATACTTGTAAGTATATTTCAGGTGCTGGTGTATTTGTTGATACAATACTAGTTAGAGAATCTGAAGATTCAGAAAATGAATATGTTTTCCAATGTGTGCAATGGTTGGATGATCACATGGAAGATAGACAAACCAAGAGACAAATCAAACTGTTAGGTATGTATCTATATTGGTAAATTTTAAGCTGGGTCTTGTAGTGATCTCAATATGAATGGTCTGTTAGACCTGGTGTCTTTACTATTATGTAACAATTGTTCATGTATATAAAGCCTGGATTTTTAATAAACATGTGTCGGTATGCTCAGCACTCAGTGTGTGTGTGTTGTCTCATCTCTTGTGTTTCCCTGCCAAATGCCACATGTTATACGGACATCTCAATATTTAACATTGGCAACGAGGATTGTTGCAGGTTTCATGTTTTTTCAGTTATCTCTGTTTGACGTCCATGGGAACACCAATACATTAGCACCATGTTGGAAATGTTGGTTATCACGCTTTGAAAATAGCTGTGTAGCTTGAAAGATCGCTGACCCAGAGCAGAAAAGAGCTATGCTTTGGACGAGGTGGCGACGACTTGTTTGAGATTTGCTAACCATGCCCGCTGAACCTGAATATGACAATGCTTACAAGAAACTGAATAAAGCATTAGAAGACTACTTTCTTCCCCAAACGAACGCTGAGTTTGAATTTATCGATTTCGGCATGTGACTCAATACAACACTGAAAGCATTGACCAGTTTGTAACTAGTTTACAGAAACTGATAATAATTGTGGTATTGAAAGACGCAGTAGCCAAAGACGCTGAAATTAAACACCAAATCATACAAGAAGGCTCGCCGTTGTGCTATGCATAGACAGTGTCTTAGAAACCTAAATCGATGAAAACCTCTTCTCATTCTCTTTTTGATATCATGAATTTTGTGAGTTTGGAGAAAGGGGATTGTATTGCACTGTGTTCTTTAAGGCAAGGAGTCAATGTGACTTAAATGTTGTTCTTGAAAATGATCTCCAATCATCAAATAACTACCATATTGTAGGGTGACAATTTTGATATCCTGTAAATCCCATATATCTGAATTTTTATTGTCAGGAGTAAGACCTGTGCAGAAAACTGAGGCAGAAGAGGACAAACACAAATCAAGTAAGACAGTATGATTGATTCTCTTGTGATAGGGTCAGTGCAAAACAAAACTTTGCATAGATATGAATAGCATTGTACCACTTTATTTAAGTGTACGTACATTTATTAATATTGATGCAAAACTATAACTTACTACATGTAATATAAATATGAGTGAATGTCATTGCTGTCGATTAATTGTAATAATGAATCTCATTACTCAGTGTCATGCATACGAATACAAGGCTTGTATTCAAAGGGTATTTAAAAAAAAGGTAATTTTTTAATGTCAGCCTTGTCATCTGCTCTTTATGCTAAAGAACATTTAATTAATCCATTATACCACTTCGAGCTACTGATGCTGTCATCACTATCGTGGTGGCTGCATATTGCCACTATCATGGTGGCTGTGTATTGCCACTGTCGTGGTGGCTGCATATTGCCACTATCATGGTGGCTGTGTATTTCCACTATCGTGGTGGCTGCATATTGCCACTATCATGGTGGCTGTGTATTTCCACTATCGTGGTGGCTGTGTATTTCCACTATCATGGTGGCTGTGTATTGCCACTGTCGTGGTGGCTGCATATTGCCACTATCATGGTGGCTGTGTATTTCCACTATCGTGGTGGCTGCATATTGCCACTATCATGGTGGCTGTGTATTGCCACTATCGTGGTGGCTGTGTATTTCTACTATTTTGGTGGTTGCATTTTGCCTCTATCAGGGTGGCTGTGTATTTCTACTATCATGGTGGCTGCATATTGCCACTATCGTGGTGGCTGTGTATTGCCTATATCATGGTGGCTGTGTATTTCCACTATCGTGGTGGCTGCATATTGCCACTATCGTGGTGGCTGCATATTGCCACTATCGTGGTGACTGCATATTGCCACTATCGTGGTGGCTGCATATTGCCACTATCGTGGTGGCTGTGTATTTCTACTATCGTGGTGGCTATGTATTTCCACTATCGTGGTGGCTGCATATTGCCATTATCGTGGTGGCTGCATATTGCCACTATCGTGGTGGCTGTGTATTTCCACTATCGTGGTGGCTGTGTATTTCCACTATCGTGGTGGCTGTATATTGCCACTATCATGGTGGCTGTGTATTACCACTATCATGGTGGCTTCATATTGCCACTGTTGTGGCTGTGTATTTCCACTAACATGGTGGCTGTGTATTTCCACTAACATGGCTGTGTATTTCCACTATTGTGGTGGCTGTGTGTTTCCACTATTGTGGTGGCTGCATATTGCCACTATTGTGGTGGCTGCATATTGCCACTATCATGGTGGCTGCATATTGCCACTGTTGTGGCTGTGTATTTCCACTAACATGGTGGCTGTGTATTTCCACTAACATGGCTGTGTATTTCCACTATTGTGGTGGCTGTGTGTTTCCACTATTGTGGTGGCTGCATATTGCCACTATTGTGGTGGCTGCATATTGCCACTATTGTGGTGGCTGCATATTGCCACTATCATGGTGGCTGCATATTGCCACTATCATGGTGGCTGCATATTGCCACTATCATGGTGGCTGCATATTGCCACTATCGTGGTGGCTGCATATTGCCACTATCGTGGTGGCTGTGTATTTCCACTATCGTTGTGGCTATGTATTTCCGCTATCGTTGTGGCTATGTATTTCCGCTATCGTGGTGGCTGCATATTGCCACTATCATGGTGGCTGTGTATTACCACTATTGTGGTGACTGTGTATTACCACTATTGTGGTGACTGTATTGCCTATATCGTGGTGGCTGTGTATTACCACTATCGTGGTGGCTGTGTATTACCACTATTGTGGTGACTGTATTGCCTATATCGTGGTGGCTGTGTATTGCCACTATCGTGGTGGCTGCATATTGCCACAATCGTGGTGGCTGCATATTGCCACTATCGTGGTGGCTGCATATTGCTACTATTGTGGTGGCTGCATATTGCCACCATCGTGGTGGCTGTGTATTGTCACTATCGTGGTGGCTGTGTATTGCCTATATCGTGGTGGCTGTGTATTGCCTATATCGTGGTGGCTGTGTATTGCCTATATCGTGGTGGCTGTGTATTGCCTATGTCGTGGTGGCTGTGTATTGCCTATATCGTGGTGACTGTGTATTGCCACTATCGTGGTGGCTGTGTATTGCCACTATCGTGGTGGCTGC